AAACAGGCTACACTAATCCATTCTTGGGATTTAAGAATCGATATCGTTCTGTAAAAATGAGAATCGATTAATATCGAGATATCGATATTTCATACCCAGCCCTACGATTGATTGAATAGATGGTGGTGGCACAGGGGTGTACATTGAATTTATTTGCTAAAAACTGGCTTACTTATAGATAATTTCTTGTTTGAAAATGATCAAAAAAGTCATTGCAACTTCATTTTGATTTGGATGTGACTAAAAGTGACGATTTGTGAGTTGTTTACTTACATTTTACATTTACATTTGCATTTGCATTTAGTCATTTAGTCATTTAACAAATGAAAAAAACTTTTATCCAAAGTTACTTACTTGTTTTGTACAGCAGAGTAATTTTATCCACATCATACTGGTGAAAATGGATTAGGCCCTACATCCATTACAAAGTACATTACTTTCTGAGTAAAACTGACAAACAACATGCAACTGATATATAATTATTTAGTGTAATAGTTTGTATTTGCACAAATATATTTATTTAAAGTGTTATGCAGTAAATGTGGCTTTGGTTAGAACTGAAAATTATTGCATGTGTTTTATTTGTATTTAACTTCTATCGCTCTGTTTATATGTAGATATATAGGGGCGTGTATATATATATATATATATATATAAATGGATATGTGTATGTATATATATCAAAATTATAGGATTAATCTGGGACTGAACTTGAACTCAAATAATATGTATACAAATAATATGTAGCCTACAGCATTTGTATTTTAAAGAATTTAAAACAAGCAATGACATTAAAATTTGTATATTAATTTAAACTTCATTTTAATTTACATTTATATTATATTTGAATACAAATTTTATTTAAAAATGGCATTAAATTACAAAAATAGCATTTTCACACGTGGATTTAAGATTGCACACAAGGCTTTTGAACCCCAGTGTACTTGCAGAAATAACTTATTAATTTAGATTATTTTTTTAATAATATTTACTCAACACTTAAACAAATGTGCATTATTCACTGACAAAGCTGTAGATTTATGATAATTCACAAGAATTGTCAGCCAATGTGATAGCCTCTGTATAGCAGCCTGTCACTATTAAATGCTCTTACTGTAGTGTTACTGTTGCACGGTCTAATCTCTCTAACGCTTGTCTTTGTATGTTACAGGGAGCATGCGTGAGTAACAGGTTTCTGTGGCGGGACCTCAAGCTCCTCCCCTCGTCTGGAGCCCCTGCGCTGTAGGATACGAGACCGTCTTCCTTCACACACTCTGACCTCAGCTCAACAGGTATGCACTGAATATACAGCAGACAGCATTTTGTCATTATGTGATTATGGGTAGTCTCTTTATTATACAAAGTGTGAATTAATGTCAGCTCAGTTTTACTCACAATGCATGATTCATTTAGCGTGACAATGAAGGAGTTTGCATACTTGCAGTGCCTGAAAGCGAAGAGTACTATTGCAGTCCTTCCCCGTGTAATGTGATGGATTTTCTTTTTACGTTTACGATTTACGTAATTGGAAACATTATTTGTCCAGTTTTAAATAATCAAAATGTCCTTTTTACCGCATCTCAAGTGATGTTGTGTTTATTGGCTTGCTAAGGTTAGCTTCACAGCTAAAATTCTATGTATTAAAAATCCACACAATTACAAAATATTTTTAGTAAATTTTTTTTTTTCCAATTTAACAAATTTTCAGCTTAATTTTAAATGACATGCCATCTTATTTTGTGTTATGGAAGTAGTGCCTCAATGTGGGTCAGTCGTCATTTAAACATTTACATAAATATGTAAAATATGTTCCTGTGGCTCAGTGGTAGAGCATTGCGTTAGCAGCGGAAAAGGTCGTGGATTTGATTCCCAGGGAACACACATACTGGTAAAAAATGTTTAGCTTGAATGCACTGTAAGTCGCTTTGGATAAAAGCATCTGCTAAATGCATAAATTATTATTATTATTACATAAATCATTTTCATACAATGAATATTAAAATAGTTTATTTCACTCTTTATTTACATTATTGTAATCTTACATCTGTAGGAAGTAATACTTTACACTTTTGTATGGATTTTCATGTTTTAAGATTTAAAGTGGAGCAAGAGCCAAACAACAATAAAGCAATGAGCCCCAAGAAGCCGTGGTTTACAGTGAATTTATAACGTAGTGCCTCAATGTGGGTCAGTCGTCATTTAAACATTTACATAAATATGTAAAATATGTTCCTGTGGCTCAGTGGTAGAGCATTGCGTTAGCAGCGGAAAAGGTCGTGGATTTGATTCCCAGGGAACACACATACTGGTAAAAAATATTTAGCTTGAATGCACTGTAAGTCACTTTGGATAAAAGCATCTGCTAAATGCATAAATTATTATTATTATTACATAAATCATTTTCATACAATGAATATTAAAATAGTTTATTTCACTCTTTATTTACATTATTGTAATCTTACATCTGTAGGAAGTAATACTTTACACTTTTGTATGGATTTTCATGTTTTAAGATTTAAAGTGGAGCAAGAGCCAAACAACAATAAAGCAATGAGCCCCAAGAAGCCGTGGTTTACAGTGAATTTATAACAGCTAAGGGGAGTTAGGCACAACGCGAAGCGGAGTTATAAATTCACTGTAAACCACGGCTTCTTGGGGCTTATAAAACGGTTATTCCATATACGTAGTAAGGTTTCACAAAATAAAACAAAAGTGTAATGATATCAATAAAAACGTTATTCTTTCTATGTACTTCTTCAGAAAAGGTTGTGGTTGCAACAAAGTAATTGTCGAGCAACACACAAATGAAAACAAAAGTGTATGTTTGTAGAGTAATTTACAACAGCTTCGAACGCAGCTCTGCCAATCAAAATCAAGGACCGAAACTATCCGTTATTTGTTACTTTGCCTAACAAAAAGAAACAAATGAAATCAAAAGGTTCCCTGAGTTGAAGAAACACCAAATTGAAAAGTGTCATTTTATTTTCAGCAGTTTGTTTATAATGTGAGTGTGTGTGTGTGTATAGCACTCTAAACTTTAAATAGACAGTAATGCATATTGATCTGGGTTACACCACAGAATGGCTGAATGATTGCAAATTGAAGTATTTAATTGTACTTGCTGTTGCGGCCAGGCTTTGCATTGGTAATCAATTTGTGTTTGTTTTCTGCATTATGTGCAGTTTTTGCATCACAGCTCCCTCCATCTCCGTCACCCCGTTTCTCGCTCTTTCGTGAGTCTTTGTGTGTGTGTGTAGTTTGTTAGCTGTGCTGGTTTGAAAGAGCCTGTGCTCGAGGCATGTAATCGTCTGTGAGAGGAAGAGGAAGTTGCAAACACAGGCTTGGGGGAAGCGCAGTTGTGCCTCAGTCTGATTTCTACACCAAATTTGCCATTACAGTGTGAGGATGTTCTGCATCAAAATGAACCTCCCTCAATTTCTTTGAGCAGTCATTATTTCCTGTCAATCGTCTATATTTTTGATAAGATTTTCTTAAAACAAAATAGTAAGAAAGCTTTTTTTTTAGCAGTTTTGAGAATAGAACCATGAAGCCTTGAAAGTTTCCTGTTCATTATGTCCCTCTATTTCCAGTCCTTTGACACACACACACACACACACACACACACACACACACAC